GCTGCGAGTTGTAATTTTAGCTGATTCTGTTCGGTAGTTTCCTCATTTAAAAGCTCTTAAGCAGGTGAAATTACTAGGTATCTCTTTCAAATGATGCTAATTTCAAAGCTATGATATAAGAAGTCCATTAATGATCATGGACTAGATTAAAAACTATTACGGCATCACCTTTGAACCATCTATAGTCAGGAGCCACCAAGTTAAGCTCATTAATTTGACTGTTACCTTCACACATCTACACTTGGTAAGTAACTGTTAGATGTAAGGATTTAATCTAAGTCATTACATGAAAGCAAACCTAAATAACCATTTAATTGACTTTAAGAATCCTCTAAATTTTTGTAAACTCAACTTTAGTCAACCAAACCTTCTACTTGTAAAGGCGTCTCAAAGCTTTCTCTAATCTTTTGTTTCCTTTTAAGCAATACTTAAAGTTGCAGGTTTTGTTGTTATTAATCTTTAGTTGTACTTCAAGTTTTTCTTAATTTCAAGTATTTTTAACATGTTTCTCAGGGAAATAACGCATAGAATCTAAGAGGAAGAATAAGGGCAATCAACAAACGTCCTCACCAACTGAACACAGTATGTAACAATCGGTCTGCCATCTTAAGTAAGATACGTACTTTCTTCAGACTCCTGCGGCCGTTACGAATCCCCTAATTCCACGTTCCTATGCTAACAATTAGCTTTGGTAATCAGACTGTAGCAGTGATTTGTGATGGAAAGCTTGTGACTCATTTTACATAAACTGAAATATACAATGCCGGAATATATTTATCGAGGCATGAGAAGAAAAGATGTGATCGTCGTTGGTTTCACATAACCTTTATCCAATCAAAAGATTTTTTTCATGGACAGTACAAGCCTAGCTATACGCTTGCACTGTGCCAAAAACCGTACATGTAACAACCATGCGGTGCAGTTCCACGGACTGACCCTACATGCTATCCCCAATTGGTGTGTTTTTAAAGCTTAGATGTGCAGCGAAGCAAATTTATTCCCGTTTTTGTGGTTTCTTGTACAATTTTCGGGCAAGATTTCCGTATAACCCCATACATTAATTATGCATAGAGTGTTGCAAAGAAACCTTTATATTCAGCCTTTACATAACCTCATTATTTTATTCCCCGAGATAGCTTGCCTTTGCCCTTGTTTTTCCTTATTGTTCACAAAACCATTCAATTCAGGAACTTTACGCGTTCTCAATCTTGTTGCTTTTCGATATTGTTCTCAAATCCATGAAATGTGAAAGCAAGAGAAAGGCCAAAGCGAAATGTTTCATTGGCCAAAAGTTAAAACCTATTCAGTCAGAACAATGAATACGACTTATGTGATCTCAATCTTATTCTGATGCTTTGACACAATTTCATTGAGCAGCTAGGCATGTCTTTCCTTTTGGATTCAAGTCAACTTTAATGAGATATTTTGAGTGGTTAGCGGCCCAAGGGCACATATTGTTCTTTTCATTCATTAATCAGCTAGGCATATCTTTCTTTTTCGATGCAAGTCGACTTTAATGAAATATTTTGAGTAGTTAGCGGCCAAGAACACCGTACCTTGTTCCTTTGTTTAATCAAGCAGCCAAGCGTATCTTTCGGTTTCCATGTTAGTCGACTTTAATGAGATATTCTGAGTTGTTAGCGGCCCAAGAACACCTGTTTTTCTTCTGTTTATCATAGACCTCACTTTCAAGCTGTTAATAAGAAACCTCCCCTAAAGAAAAATGGCTCAATATATTCTACTAATAATTTTTATTCTCTAACAACCTATCAATAAACTGTAATATATCTGTGATATTTTCCCCCTTACCCTCACTGTAACAAGTTTATTCGCGATGTAAAACACAGTACAACTAGCATTACGAATTATTAGCGCACCTGATGTTTCCACACAGAACAACGCCCTGTAATAGCGTGGCGGTGCTGTACACACTGTGCGGTAAAACACATAACAGCCAAAGAAAGCACATTTAAGTGCATCTATCTTCAAAACATGCTTTTTTAAGCTAACGAGACTTACTGTTAAACCCATTTGGCGAGGAAAGAATGGCCCCTGTAAGTATTGAATTTTTTCAGCTCAAGTTCTCCAATCAAATTAAGAGAAATCAAGCGATTTCGTTCAGTCTGGACTTGAACAAAGTGTCGGTTCACCTGATTTAGAGATGAAAAAGAAGGAAAACACTTACTAGTTATGATTCCTGTCCGTTTGGTAATTGTTTTGGTCCTGCTGAGGTAGCGACGCTTACAAGACTAGAGCGAGACTCTGCACTGCAAAGTCAAGCAAATAATTTCGCTACGTATTTTTTCTTTTTACACTAGACATTTCTTTCGGCTCAGAACTCTAAACTTCCAGCTATCTATGCATGATTACTTCTTCTAACTATTCGTACTCTGCTCTATATATGTTCTCCCCTCTGCGAACGTTATACGCAAAAGCTATTTAAGAGTTAATAATGAAATGATTGAGCTATAAGAAAAGTTTGCAGTACTTGCCTTGGACTGCGAAATACGAACATTGCACTTGATTTCAGGGTAGTTTAGGGCCCAAATTTGCATGTTGAAGTACACCGTTTTTTTTATCACGCTTGTCACATTTAAGTTGTTATAGCGAAACAGCCCCGAAGATCAAGTGACTCAGACCTATCGTTTACAAGCTAAGTAAATTGTGTAGCCAATTTCATTGTCTAAAAATAAAACTAAACACACCTTTTATATTTTAGAGAACACTCTTTTGGTCATTTAATCTTCTTTGGCGTTGTTCGGCGGTGTAAACAACGCAGTAAGTGTAACATTGTGACGCCCTGTAATTCTGTAATTGCGCGGCGTAGCTTTACAAAGAGAACTCAAAACGCTTAATGCCAATTTGAAGTTTGGAAGTTGGATCTCGGAACTTTACGTAAAATGTGTCCTCGCCTTATACATGTAGTGGGTTTCCTATGCGGAACCTAAATTCATCGTCGGAAATTACTTTGCTACTGCTGCCTCACTTTCTTTTCTGAATCTAGCCGAGCCGCATCGTCGATGGTAAAGCAGAAAATCTTTCGAAGCTCAAATCACGTGCTTGAACAAACGCACTAACATTCAATACTCAAACTTCTGTTAAGCGTCTGCTTTCCTCCTGATGAGCATAATAAAATCATTATTTGATCAATTTGAACTATGTTTCATGATCTCTAGCAAGTCGCACAGAGATTAGAGTATAGTTATTAGCCGGCGGAAAGTCAACCTTCATAAGATTTTTTAGAACTTTGTCATAATAAGTCGATTATGTTTTTAATTGACAGGTCTGGAACATTGGTATGATGAAAATGATTTCTGTGCCCGTGTTGGTCTGCTTATTTCTTGCATCCACTTTCACTGACTCTGTCAGCAGTTACCCAGAGAAAAGTAAGTTCATTTATCAGTACCTTTCCAAAATAACTGGGGGCGGGGATAAAACATATCACAGTGTTTCATGATCAAAGTAACGAAGCAATGCTTGACTTACAAAAAGACACATTCAACTGTAAAGTTTAAAAGCGCGGGTTGAATCCCCTTCAGGATAGGTGTGGTAAATATCAGCTGCATGTAAGAATGAAAAAAGTCGACAATTTATGAGCTTAGGTGCGTGGCAGGATCTGTTAGAGCCGAATTTTAATGTCAGACAAGTGACATAAAAACTCCTAAGAACCATGAGGGAACGGTTCTAAACTGCATAGACCCTCAACATGTATCTATCCCTGAAGACTCCAATTGTGTAAGCTTAAACAGAAACCTTGACTGGATATAAGAAACAGCATGACAATAAAATAATGTTTTGTTGCTTTTTCTTTTATTCTTATTTTTTCAAACAGGCTACGCTCTTTATTTCCCAAACAAAGATGTGAGTAGCTACGCCAATATCTGGGGTATGCCCAGTTTGACCGCATTCACCATATGCTTTTGGATGCGTACGAGTGATACGTCAACAGAAAGTACTGTACTCAGCTATAGTGTGCCAGGTGAAAGTAATGAAGTCATCGTCGAAAAATACGGAGCACTCAAAGTTTTTTTAAAAGATACAAGCAGGTGAGCTTCGTTTACAGACTTAACCAAACCGTTACAAATCGTTGAGGAACCCAATAGCTAACACTTGATGCAAAACAAAGAACTAAATTCCTGATCTCAAACATAATATCTGATACATAAAACGGCTTGCGCATCTTGGTTTTAAACATATGTAAGTCTCGTTTTTGGTACCAGGAGTTTAATAACTTTGCAAATATGGTCGTCGAATAAATGCATATTTCAGAATGTTAAATTTTTGGTAGAAATTAATCTCAGTGCTAAAAAGCTACTCCACATTAATACGTAATTGTATCTCTATAACAGCAAAGTACTTGGATCGGCCATTGATGGAAAGTGGCATCACATTTGTTTTACTTGGCAGAGCAGTGATGGTGCCGTAAATTTTTATAAAGATGGAACTCTCCACAATCAAGACCGTGGTCTCAAAACAGGTTACACTATTAAGGGAGGTGGCTCTCTGGTTCTAGGACAAGAGCAAGATTCCCTCGGAGGAGGCTTTTCAAAACATCAATCCTTCAAAGGCCACCTGGCAAACTTGAATATGTGGTCCTATGTCCTTCCTGCAACAGAGATCAAGAGGCTCTCAGAATCTTGCCTTGCAGGGGAAGGGAATGTTTACAAATGGAACGACTTCATTTATGGGGTCAAAGGAAAAACCGTGATCGTCATACCATCGCCGTGTGGAACACAGGAATGATTCCACCGTAAAAAAGGACACTGTGTTCGAAATGAGCGGCAAGCCTATTTAAGCGAGTAAAACTTTACTTTAGTATTGCTAAAAAGTGATGCACCTAGCATAGTACGGGAACTTATAACTGACGTAAGTGAGAATGTAAGTAAGCCAAGAACACAAGTGAATAATTACTAGAATAACAACAAACATATGAAACATATGAGTGAATAAAAGTTTTGATCTCATAGCAAATGGAATGGGTTAAAAAACTTTTAATCAATCGAGTTTAACTTTTCCATTTTTTAGACCTGTTCAGGCCCAGGTAACTTAAGCCATCCTCGCAACGAGTCTAATGCAAAACAAAAGCCAAGCGCTTTTCTCTCTCGTCGTTTCACGCGCTTTATGCCGCTTGTCCTCATTTTGAGTTCTCAATGCGCCCTGCACAAACCCGTGGAATTCGAAAGCGAAGTAAAAGCCGAAATAAAAAATGTTTTATTGGCAAAAAGTTGTAAGCAGTTAAGTCAGAACAGTAACTACAATCAATATCATGTCAAGTCCATTCTGGTGTTCAGGATATAGTCAAGAGCATATAAAACATTCTCTTGATATAATATAGCCTAAAACAACTTGCACTCCGCACATGATTCGATTTTAAATACATCTACAGTAAAGTTCGGATATAACGCGTGCGCTCTCATTGGTTGAAAGAGAGTGATTTATCTGAGTACAAAATACAGAGCTAAACCTGTCACGCCATCAGCCACTTTGTACAATGTCGGATCAATTCCCGAATTTCTCTCTGGATTTTTTTCGTTAATTGACCATTAGGTCTTGCATGACCTGTAAAACGATTATGAAAAAGAGCCCTTGGCTTCAATTGATACAGAACAACACGTAGGAGCACGAATTACACTAGGATAGAAAGTGATATTTCGAAACAAGCGAGCCGGCAAGTAGCAACAGTAGTACCAACTAAAAATTTGTGAACATGACAAGCACCGTAATTAACGAAATTAATTATAAAGTGATAGAGGCGAATATTAGCAAAGAGAAAACGAAATGCACTTCCTGATTTCTGTTTATTCAACCAATATATTATTTGAACCATTCAGACTGCAAGGATTCTGATTGGCATAGTTTAGCGTGAGTTATTAATTCAAAGTACAAAACATGCGAACGACACATTTGTTCACTTTGAAAATAAAATTTGTTTTAAAAATAGAAAGAAATGTGTAAGGAATTTGACGGATTCTTTATCATACAACAATAAAGAAGCCTTGACTAGCTCTGTTCTGTTGTAAAGCACGGAGGATGTGGTTAGAGCACTCATGAAGTAGGGAAAAACTCTCGATTACGTCTTGTGTTTCCCCCTACCCTTCTTTCGGGCTCTAGCCGCTTCGTGCGTGCTTTACAACAGAACAGATCATAATGAAGGTTTATTCATTTGTTCAATTTTGAGTCAGTAAAGGGGCCAATTTTTTTTCGTGTTTGTTTGTTTGTTTGTTTTTTTTTTGGTTTATCACGGACTCCATGTTCAAATTATTATTACGAAACACCCCCCAAGGTTAATTACTTCAGGGTTGTCTTTCATCAGCTACATCACTTCTTTCGCGAATTTTCTTGTTTAACAACGTATTGAAATATTATGATAACTAGTGACAGTGACAACATATATACAGTGACAACGTGTATACAGTGACAACATATATACAGTGACAACATATATACAGTGACAACTATACACAGTGACAACTATAAACAGTGACAACATAATTAGTGTGACTCTTCTTCATTGCATTTTCCATAGCATTATTTAACATGACATATGCTGATGACAAAAATTATCCAAATTTCTTGAGTTTTAAAAAAAAAAAGTTAAACAGTTCTCGCAGAGCTTCAAGTAAAATGAAATATTTGATAATTTACGCAGAGGTATTGTGTTTTCCTCTGACTTATATTTAACTTCTGCGTATTTCAATAGTTTAAGAGAAATACGGAGGCTTTACTGGTCACCATTTGCTTACCGATCGTCTTACTGACTTAAGACAATATTACAATTTATGATGATTGGTTATATTTTCCGGGTACTTTTGAAAGAAATTGCAAGAAAACCTTCCCAATAGGAGATTCTAGCCTCCTCTGTACATTGTTTTGTTTCCACGGAATTATATCTACCATAAAACCGTCCAAAAGTGCACATTCCATTGCCGTTCGCAAAGACTGAGTGGTGCGATAAAACACAGGCTGCAACTTATTTCTTGGACTTGGTGTTGTTGAAAAGGCCAATACTCTAATTCCCATTTTGGATTGAGTTTATTTCCCGTCAAACATTGCTGAATAAGAAAAACAAATATGACGACATTTTAAAGGTTTCGCAGAGGGTTTTTCTTTTAACGCTATCCCTTCTGGTGTGTTCTCAAGGATGGCCTCAGATCACAGACTCAACAGAGCAAAATAGCGATTTTCAAGCTCTTTTGGAAGTATGTTATTGTCAAGAAATGTTTCTTTTTATGGACGATTTGCTTACTTCGAACTTCCCTTTATTTAATGCGAGTCGGAGCTAGTTGACTTTATGGAGGGTTGCTCCTCAAATCGACGATACTTTGCCACGGATTACGCTATAATTGAAACAGACTAGAGGAAATGACTAGCCTCGAATATCGAACATTGCTGACATTGCTGGAAGTAAGTAGACAAACAGCTTTTGAATTATTTTTATGCTAGAAGTACAGCTTAATCTCTACTGAACTTGTTTCGAGTCGGAGCTAGGGAATACTCTGACTCGTATTTGTTGTATTTTGGATTTTTGTGGAAATCCCATACATTTCCTTACACGATTTCGCCGCCATTAACTCCTCAATACGCACGCGCGTCCGGCATTTTGACCCAAATTTCTGGCAATGAAGCNCGCGCCAAAATCTAATCTTCGCTTTGTAGTAAAATCGTTCACAATAGGGCCAAGGTTGCAGAGAACGTTAAGTTCGTAGACGACCTCCAGCAAGCGCTAAGAGAAAGCTTAGCTGTGTTTCCGGTTAGCTAATTAAAATCTGAACAAAAAATTATTAATGCAGTAAATGGTTTGAACCCGGGGGTAACATGTGAAGGTGTAGTCTGATCGTCCGGGTGAGTGTAGTCCTGAGAAGGACTGTTGTCGGTGGCAGTGACTGACGTTTCGACAACCTGTGCGGAAGTCATCATCAGAGTCAAGTGAATGATTGTTGTCAGTAGAATGTTCTTATTCCAGTTCGTGTGAAATGATCGGTTGGTTTTGCCGTGATGTTATTGGCTGTAAGACTCAAGTGACGTAAGTCGTTCGTGATTGGTCTGTTTCGGTCTGTCGGTAAAGCTAGGTTGTTCTTTTTCGGTCGTTTGTGATGTTTATGTCGTGAATGAGTCGTTTGTATGGGGCGGGTAGTTGTTGACATCTGTTTAGGGGAGTCTGTTCTAAGTTAGTAAACCAGCTTTCCAGAGTCAGTCGTTGAAAATAGTCAGTGCTGTAGGTTAGGCATTGCGCAGAGTCCCAGTCAATGTTGTGGTTGGTAAGTCGATGGTGTTCAGCAATGTGATTGCTGACATCACCTTTCCTCGTCGCCCGTCTGTGTTCAGTCAGTCTTGTTGTGAGGTTTCTGCCAGTCTCACCGATGTAGGAGGCTTGGCAGTCGGAACAATTGATCTTATAAATCGTTCCCTGTCTGTTGCTCGGTTCGTCTTTGTCTTTAACGTTGGTTAGTAACTGACGTAGTGTGGTGATGGGTGTGTGGGCGACGCGGATATTAGTTTTAAGATAATAGGATTGCTTTTGTCTAACAACAATAGATGTTGTCGTAATTTATGACCTCATTGGGATTTAATTTCCAGAAAAAATCTAATCAAATCATTACATTTTGAGTAATAATATTTACTATCAAAATATGTTGATTATAAAAATGTTAATTGTGAAAATATTGAGGGGCCACAGCCAGGATGAAACAGGGTTAAAATTTGAAGTCTTCGTCATTTTTGCCAGAGATTGTTCCTTAAATTTAACAAAATGTTTATGTTCAAACTACAGCTGATAAACTGCCCGTTTTGTATACAGATATTGTTTGTAGTGAGTCAGGTACTTTCCTTGTACTGTCTTAGGATAGGTGCTTGAAAGTTAACCAGATATGCACACACAGTAAAAATTTGTTCAGCTAAATGAGCCATTGAGAGTGGAATTGGTTTACACAGGATTTGAAAAGTTTTGATTCGTTGGATAGCTCTCTCAACGTGTATTCTTGCCTCTGCAATCTTCTCTGAGCGCTTTCCCTCGTGTTTTTTTAGTTGTGATCTGCCTGTTCCTTTAAAATCTGGAATAGTAACCTTCACTCCTTTTTCTTCCATTGCTTCATTGATATCAAATCCTCTGTCAGCCATTCATTCATCCCCTGCCTTGAGGGTAGCAATAAATTCTGCACTGCTTGCTGTGATGTGTTTGTCTGATGTCCTGCCTTCCCATGCTCGAGACACATAAACAATTGCTCCATGAGCATTTATTGCTACTACAAACTTAAAGCTTGTATGACTCTTGTAGTTTGAGTATACTTCTTTGCAGGTCTTTAATGAGGGGGTTTTCTGGGTAAAGACTTCAGTGCAATCCACAATAACTTTGAGGTCAGGAAATGATGAGAACTGATTTGCCTTTCCATATTCCTCATAGTCAGGCATTTGGCAGAGATCTTTTAAGTGGAAATACAGTAGATTAATCCATGCAGAAAAATTTTTGCTGACACTTGCTTCACTGATTCCTAACCTGAATGCCAGATCTGGCAGTGTAAGTCCTA